ATGCTTCTAACTCTGCCTACTTCATTCCAGAACCGCCTGTTCCTTTAGTTTGATTTTCGAGCAGGGCGTTCGATGGAAGTTCTGCCGAGCCTGGCCAGCCATTAAAAAGTCTGAGTGGCCGAACAGAACTCGTGTTATTCACAACTTTTTGTTAATCCCAACTTTGAAAGGGTTGATTGAACTCTTTATTTGTGCAAAAGCATACAAAAACCAGCAGGTACAACAAAATCAAACAAAAACCCGGTGCAAAAGTTTACAGTCACTTGTTCGCTGTTTGGTTCAATGTCCCTTGAACATTGGCCGTTGGAGTTTCGTTTGTGGTCTCAATCATGTGGAGTATCAATGGTGAAAAGTTTGGCTGCCAAACATTTCAAAGGGAAATAATATCCACAGCTAAATTCGTTAGTAACCGCAGACTCTGGGCCAAAGGAAACATCTGCTGAAATAATCTTCTCCCGAGTAGACTCCACAAGTTGAATGGCTTTTGAGTGTTTTAAAATGATTTCGAGTGCTGCTTTATCTACACTCACTCACACTCGTACTCAGCGAAGTAGGAACAGTGTGATATCCGTTTGTGCTCATTCAAATCGCTTACAAAAAGAATCCAGAGCATTTCTTGGCACTCAGAAACTTGGAACTGTTCCAGAACTAGAGACATCCTCCTAAACAGGCGTGGGGAATGCCTGTGGATTTCATGCGAACGGAAAGGAAGCGGAAGTTGAATAGCGCTGAAATAAAGTGTTTCATACTCGTACTGTTTCAGCGACAATGACACAAAATATTGCATTTTTTGGGCATTTCCCACAGAACACAATTCGTGAACCTTTACTTTGGTATACACTTCGGAACAAACATACTAATAATAAATAATGTCTGCAAAGAGATAAGCAAGGAGACTTCAGACAGAGTTGTCCCAAAATGTTTGCTGAACTCAGAATCATGTCAAATCACAAAAACCATTTCGTGATTCCACCGGGTAGGGTTTAAGGGTATTCCAGCAGCGTCACGTTTTCGTCCAGCCTGACCTCGGACCTCTGATTCCAATTTCAAAGTAAAACTTTAATGGCAACAAATGCACCCCCGCCAGGACCAGGTCCAGTGCCATTTTATATTTGATATTTTATTACATTACATTTCCCTGGCTTATTACATTTTGGCTTTTAAGCTGTTGACACAACTTGATTTCCGTCCGACCCGACACTGCTCCGAGAGTATCCAAGAGTGCCGTGGTCAGTGCCGGGTCCGCTGGATTCCTGTCAACCTCCCACGTCGTTTTGTTTCAGCTTTCTGCTGGGTTCTTTCCTGTCTGCGACCAGCCTTCCTCTGCTTCCTGCCCGCTCAGACAATTTCTACATTTTCCGTTTGTTGTGCTTTCACTTTTGGAAGTTGGAACTCGGGCTGCCACGTCTGGCTGGGATGACGATGACCCAGAAACAAAAGTGTGTCTAATGGGTTTCTGTTATGTTTTTTGACATTTTGGGAATAATGTTTCCCCTTCCGGTTTAAGGTGCGCTCCGCTTCTACGTGTATATGCTGCAATTTCCGTCTGTCCCGTCCGCCGCCTCCGCCGCCATCGTCTGAAATGAGGTCAACCTGCTCTTAAGTTGATTTCATAACGAGCAAAAAAAAACACACACAGAGCGAAGGAGCAGAGGAAGAGGAACCAAAAAAAAGTAGCTGAACAAGTGAAAAGTCATGGAGATCAACATCAAAGATGTGCAATTTCGATACTGCCAGCTAATTTCAGCGCCGTAAACATGACAACCTAATTATTTTTTCTTTGCCCGTCTGGCTGCCTGCTCCCTACCCCTACGCGGCGGGTGCAACTGTGATTAATGGATAAAGACTTCGCTGCGCTGCGACATTTGCATAAGAAATTGAAAATAAATATTTGCACTGATAAATGCAAAAAGAAAAACGAACTGGCGGAGGACAGAGGCAGCTGCTAATTGCACTTTGACTTTTCGAGTGCGTCCTCCACCCCGGCACTGGGAGTACACACAGATACGACCCCTGCAAGTGTACACCCTCCGTGCGAAAAATACAAACACTCTAAATAAACAGGGACATATGCCCAACGTCTGGCTGACAAAATTAGCCAAGTAATTCCCGACGCCCGCTGACGAGCATTCATTCTGTCAGGGGCTGGAGGCCTCTTCATGTCAGCAGACAAGACAGGTCTAAGGGTGGCCCCTTCCCAGGCTATCCTCGGTTCAGGCGCCATTTGATTAATATATACTCCCCCATTCCTCGTCCCGTCGCTCTGGTGATTGTCTCGCTTTCTTTTCGACAATCGAAATTAATTGCGCCGCTGGAGGAGGTTCTGTCTCCCTTTTACTCCCAGCATTCGCCCAACACCTGACGGCGTCTCGTGGAGTTTACGCTGGCGCGAAACTTTCGAAAGAACAAGGACTGGGACTCACAATGGGGAAACGTCTAGCAACAGCACAAAGAGACCCCTCATCCGTCCCCAACGGGCAACAAACTCAAAGTTTCAAATACAAAAATCAATACATTTAATTAAAGAGCTTATATTAAAGCTGTTTAGGGGCATTAAAGGATTCTTGGGATAGGCAGAGACGGTCCCTTGATTTGATTAAAGTAACAAACACAACGATCATCGAACCAAAGAATAAGCAAGAGTTAATGTCAACACGCTCCTTTTTTTGCATGAAAGCCGCTGTGATATTTTTGGGGCAATCATTATATTTAAGAGGCATATTCAGGCAAACTAACGCTATCATCATCTTCTACAGTGCCAATCACAGGCATCCCCACAAGCAGCCATGAGCCATTATCATCCCCGTCAAATGGCTGCTATTTATACGGTCCCCAATATGAGCTTATTCCATATATGTGCATACGGGTGAGCTTATACGTATAACTATATGTACATATTTATATTTGCTATTTGCTCGACCATCATTATCGTTATTAGAGCTCATTAGCAAAGTCATTGGGAAGGGAAAGCAGAAAGAGCGAAGGGTGTGGCTTGAGTGCTGATGCGTCGAGGCCTTAAAATAGCTCAAAAACCATCAGGGACATTAGGAGAAGCCGTGGAACGGGGTCATAGCCCGTACATATAGCACCATAAGATTATTGAATGTGAGCTAATTTGCTCTCAGAGGCTTAAGGCGCTTGATTGAACCAACATCTGCTATTAGGCAGAATTTTGTGCATTGCTCACCGCAGTAGGGGGATTTTGCATAAGTGTACTTCTGCGAAGGACTCTCACTTTATGAATCGCATTATAAGGCTGCCCAGCTTAGATAGGACTCTTGTGCTTGGCCGGTCCTTTGATCTCAGCAGTTCACTTAATTAACGTAAAGCCAAATGAATACGAGAACAACCGCAAACAGTGCACAGAGAAAAGTTCACCTGGACCGGGCAATCCGTGCCCCCAGTAGATGCAGAGGAAATGCAAACAAAAACGCCGCGACCCACTGAGACCGAATGCCTAGGAATCCGTAGCCCCATTGTTGGGGCCATTGTCATTTGCAAACGGTGCGAACTTAATTTCTGCGACGATGTCCCTGCTCTGGAATGCTCTCTGTGTGCACGCCACGCCAGGAGCTGCAGCCGAATCTGGCCCGGAATCTGGATCAGAGTGAGAGTCTCAGTCTCAGTGCCGGAGCGCAGTTGTGCACATACATAAGTATAAGTACATACAGACGGTGGGGAAAATGCCTGCCGGAAATCGTCTGCAATGTGCGAGATAACAATTTTCATGCAATGACCAAGGCGACGACTCTGCTAGCCACCAGGCCACTCACTCCCATCTCCATCCACCGTCTGACACGGACAACACAACCCACCGACCGCACTCATTATTCGTAATGGCGCTGATGGTGATGATGACAACATCGGTGGCAGGGCAACAATGGCGACCACTGCGAAAACAGGAGAGGAGTGCCCCCAGGCTACTGATGCCCCAGCATCGAAACCCAACCGGCGTGCGAGTATTACAATGGGAATGCCGCTGCCGTTGCTGTTGCCGTATTCTGCATTTCAGACGGCTTGTATTCTACTACATATTGCATTTTCCATGTGCCGGGTCGCAGCGATCCAGAATGTCGTCGTAACATTTAATTTCCGTCAACGCCGAACGGAGAGGCAAGACAACATTGCGGGAGAGAGAGAGAGAGAGAGAGAGAGTGAGGCATGTGGGTGGGATTGGGGCACAGACACAACATGTCTGCGGCTAATATAAAACGAAGAATGCCATGACAAACGGGTTGCAGCAAGAGCTGGCCAGATGACCACGACGCGAACGGTGATGAGTATGATGATGGCAGCGATGATGACGACATTTGTCCGGCCGTAGCCATTCCATTCCATTCTCGATCCGCTCCGCTCCGATGTGGCTATAATCATTAGGTACGTGCGTTAGGGTTTGTTTGCATTCAACAGTTTTGATTGCTGATTGCGCCCGTGGATTGGAATATTTTAGTCCATGAGTTGGGCGAGGGAGGAATGACTGGCGGGAATTGGTGGGACCTCTGGCTCCATCAGAATGTTTGCAGGCATTGGCTACGATACGATCTGAGTAAGATGATAGTGTATGTTTTATTCAGCATAATTCTAATACATAAGAATAGATTTACAGCCTAATACTCTTCGTTGATATTTATGTATGTATTTATGTACTTGTTACATTTTTCCACATTTTTAAATGTCTGTCATTGTGGTCTTCTTTGAATGTTCCTAAAAAAATAAAGTAATTAATTCATGCTTAAAGGGAAACAAAAGCAAAGGACAACAAAATAAGAATGGAAAATATGTAAATTTTTTTCATAATGAAAATGGCAGAGAGAGAGAGAGAACGGCCCATCTGGACGTGAAAGAATACCTGCCTGAGTCCAGGATTAAGTGCTTTGTTTTCCTGTTCCTGCCGTTGCTGTTGGAGTGTGCTGCGAGAATGAATTTCAGCATATATATTTTATGACACTTAACTTTAATATTAATGCCCAGTTACTACATCTGTCTCCGTCTCCTTGCAGCATGGTGGGCCAGGACTACACAGCGCTCGCTGGCTGCTTCGCATTGGCTTTTGTTCTGTACCTAAACACATTTAACGCTGGATTTGTCTACGATGACAGGTGAGAACAATTTTACAGAATTAAAAATTCCATATGTCAGCACGGTGACGAAGGTAAATGGCTTTGGTCAGGTCTCTTCTGCTCTGCTCTGCTCTGCACTCTTATATTTTGGCCTGTTCTGGTTGTGACCGGGGGCGACACTTTGTCGCCAGATTGGGTCCCAAAAAAAGACAAAAGTTTATTATTAATTGTGCGCCAAGTGACGCCATTTATTTGATAAAATCGCCATAATAAATTCTCGGCCCGCCTAATTCTAAAACCTGTAGGCAAACCAGTTGCTGGCCCTGCGTCTGGCTACGAGTGTTCTTGATGCACGAGTATACGGGTGGTCGGATGCATAGGGGCGGCTTCTGTGCTGTTGTCAGAATCAGACGGCGGACGAAGGAGCAAATTAAAAAACAAAATGTTGATTTATGTTCAGCTCCGCTCACAATGGAATCGGAACGGGATTGGCCTGGCCTGGCCCCCACCTCTTCTCGCTTCGTCTCGTCTCGTCTCGCCTCGTCCCGTCTCTCACCTTGGCGCATTGAAATGCTGCAAACGCAAACGAAATTACCCATAAATATCAAAAGTCATGTACAATGGACAGGAATTTCCCCAAGGACTTGGCCACAGTTCGTAGTCCTCGCACACACACACACACACACACACACACAATGCCATCAGCAGCTCTGGTCTAGCACTCTACCCCGTCTGACCGTTCTGGAAAACAAGTGACTCCTGGTCCTAGTTCTACTCCTGGTTGAACTACAATGCCAGCGAACAATTGTTCGGAAGTTATGCACAAAGTGCTCTGCTCGATGCTTTCGTTGTAGCTCGTTATTTCGTGCTGTCCAGAAAACAAGCACAAACTTGCCCACTCACAAACACAGTCACACACAAATAATAAACGCAACTTATGTAACTCAGCCCCGTCTGCCATCTGCAATCCCCCTTCATGGCTTCATGGTACAAAAAGTTGTGTGCGAGTTGATGTTTCTGCTCGAACGGAAGCTCCTGCGGTCACTTTCACGCAGTTGGCCACACCACCCGGGCCCGTAACCAGAGAAGGACCCAAAACTGGAGCCAGGACACCGAGGAGAGCCTACCTATTGGTTGCGGCTGCTCCCACAACATGGCCACAGTGACCACACGAGCCCAAGTTATTATTGTCAAGCCGGAGCAGACAAAACATGATTTATTAAATGGCAGAATTCCCTTCAATTTGTTTCCTATCGAGTGGAAAAAGAGCAGTGACCATGCGAGGTGTAGGGGCAGTTCGGCCATCCGTTGCCATTAAGAAATCTCTGTTGTTGGCAATTGTTAAAGAGATATGAGGTTCTAATAAGTTATGGCCAGCCAATAGATTGGCCAACTTTTTGATCAAGAAATTTATATGCTCCGTAATTGAATAAATGGGATCTGTATACATCTGTATAATACCTTTCACATATAATACCTTTCGCTACGACGGTCATCCGAATCACACCTTCAACTTGATATATTGCGTGCTCCCAAAAAAAAAATAAAAATAAAGAGCCTTAACAAAATGTTGCCAAACATCGCCCAATCTCCAGTTTTACAATAATTTATGTGCCGTATTAAAAGGACAGCGACAACAACAGCGGCAATTTGATGGCACACAATCGGGGGGCGAGGACTCTAGGAGGGAGGCACACTTTACCACTCCCGAGGCGTGAGGCGTGAGGCGTGAGGCGTGAGGCGGGAGAGTATCAGTATTTTGTGCTCTTTTTACTTTTGCATAAAATCGAAAACTTTTCACTTTACATAAGCAAAACAGCAACCGCCACAACAAGAGCCAGAACAGCAAATACAAATGTTGTGGGGTGCCCAGAGGCAAGAGAGAATGTGATGGTGTAGAGGTAAGGAGCGGAAGGAGCGGAAGGCAAGAATGGTGTCCACCTTCGGTTGCTGATGCTATGATATATTGTCTTCAACAAAAGCCAACCACAGTCCTGTGTGTCATGTGTGCGAGTGTGTTACAGAGCCACAGATACTCTAGTGAAACTTGGGAAGATACCAAGCAACACACTCTTGAAAATTATACTGACTATTAGAGTATTAAACACATCTGCCCATGGCTCAGGTCTCTGTTAATGGAGTTGCTGCATTGCTGTGGCAACAACAGTTAAAGAAATTGCCAATCAATAACTATTCTTTGTTGCTGTGACAGAAGATTTAATAGTAAATTCAAAAATAGTTCCATAGTTCCATGTTCCTTTTTGCCATTTCTCGTTGGTATTCAGCAATCACATCCCACTGTGCTTCGAGTTTTTTGTGGCTGTCGCTGGCTCTCCTCCTCGACTGCTGGTGACTCTGACTCTTTTTTTTGGTGTTCCTCTAGCCCGGTGCCAGCCCGTGGTTCTGGTTCTGGCTCTGGTGGCCTCCTGCTCGAGTTGAGAGTGAAAAGCGAACGATAACGGCAGCTACATGCCGCACTTGTAAGCTGCTCCAAGCTTGCCATTGTTGTTGCCGCTGCTCAGTCTCTCTCTCTCTCTCTCTCTCCGGCTTGTGCTCCTGGCAAAGTGCCGCTGCTGCTGCTGCTGCTGGTGGGTGTTGACGTTTTGGATGTTGGCCCTGCTACGAGCACTCGTATTGCTATTCATTCACTAGTTACGATGATAAAGCACAAAAAAGGGAGCTGCGGAAATTCTGCTGATGACGATAATATTGACGCTGACGATGGCCTCCCCTCGACACTGTCAGATACTAAGCCCATCTACATAAACGCCCTAACCTAGGTACGAGTATTCGCCCCAAGGTATACTCACTGTATGAGTATGCAATGACATTTCTTTTCAATATTTGCTCCCTACTTTCGTATCGCGCACACTGCAAATGAGGCGTGTTTTTATACCCGTCACTCATTGAGCATTAGGGTATAATGTTTTTGTGGAATTTGTCTATTTCTCTGTCAGAGTAGCCCAAGACTGCCAAAGCGAAATTGAACTTGGCCAAAAATTCAAGGTGCATTTCCTTCCACCCACACATACAATAGGAACGAGTTTGCGTTCTCTCTCCGTAAGCTGCTCCTTCATCATCGTTGTGTGCGCTTCGTTGTTGCTTTGTGCTCTTCCGATAAGAATTTGTTTGCTCTCGAGGACATTTTTGCGGCTGCTTTGGCCCTGTGGGTCTCGGAATGCCAATTCGAATTGAAGTGTAGATGAGTGTGCACCACCCACGCCCACGACCTCTGAAAGGGGAACCTCTCCTTCATCACAGTCCAGGGCCAATAACTTTGCTTTATAGTTGGGCACGTCTCCCTGGCGAATTTGTAAACCCAATTTGTGGCACTCTCCGGCCGCACTGCACCACCCACGCCTCTTCAAATCCTTTTTATTACCATATTCAAGCATTGAAAGAGTTGCACACAAACACAGCACAGACACACACACACACACACACACACACAATGAAATTCACTAAACCTTGCCACAATTCATATTTCCGGTCACCCGTTTCGGAGCGTTCGAATAATAAATAAAATATTAAATTGAAAACCGAATTTTTATTCAAAATGCTCTCAAACTTATGTGTTTGCACATGACTTTTCTTTGGAGTTTTCCTCCCAAAAACCACCCACTCAGCCCCGAGCTTCGGCGGATATGCATGTGTTTGCTTAACCTTTGAACTTTTGTTTACACAAATACCCTAAAACTACAACTCGAGGCCGTCTAAAGCATAGGGTAAATATGAGTATCTGTGCAAACACCATTCGTTTGCAACGAAAGTAAATTAAATTTTCAATGCAGACAACAAAAAGGTTAAAAATTGTAATTTGCTTGCTGTCTGGATTAAAGTGAGCGGAATCCGCAAATATAGAAATATGCCTATCAATGGGAGATAAATATATGTAGGTAAATACGTGAATTAAAACACAATTAAATCTTATATATAACAAGAGGAATGAAACATTCAATTAGATAAATATTTGCAGAGTTACGGAAGAGTTTGTTTCCATTAAGGAGAATTTAGGTTACATTCCGAAGTAGCTCTGTGTCTCCACACCAATCGTCCAAGTAACAATCGAACATATTTAATGCATATCTGTGTTTAAACTGGTATCAATCTTGTCAATAAATGAACCATATTCATGGTGAACATTGATGGATATATATCGATGCACAACCGGCTCCCCTCGAGCCACAGTCCGCTTTGTGTCCTCTGGCTTCTGTGCTAAAGTTGGAAAGTTAATTAATGACATTTACTGGAACATCTAAAAACTAATTATGCATAAAATGGCTGGGATATTATTGCAAGCCCACTATAAATTTTCACAAACTGTGCAACAGTCGCACAAACACGAACAACAAGAACAACACCGATAACAAACTAACCCTGATTGTGCCTCCACCTGACCCAGAGCCAGTGTTCCGGGCAAATCGATTAGAACAACAAGGAGCGCTACAACGGTGAGGTAATTACCAGTGAACCCTCCCCCCCAGCAACACAGTGACAATGAGGGTGTATGTACACGTTCTATAACAACGGCACAAATACGCCAACAAATCGGCAATTAATCAAGCCGCAACTGCATGGCAGGGGCGACGCAGCAGCAGAAACAAGAGCCCGAGCTGGAGCTGGCGCAAAAGGATAAGGAGTAGTCGACTCAACTGTCGCTTGGCACTTTAACAATATTTATGCCAAGTGCCAAAACAAAAGGACAATACAGAAAGTAGGATAAGCAGTTTTTAATGGTAGATGCTTCTAGCTAGAGGATACCCTAGAAACTCAAACCGATGTGGTCAGGCATCGGTCAAATGTCGCTTTGTTAGCTCAACTCTTCCAGAAAAGGTATAATCATATACTCCTGATCAACCTACGTACACGGCAAAGAACAAGAGCAAGATTCTCACAGACACCAGCGCTCCTTTGACTTCATGGCGCTTCACTTTCGTGTACCAGGAAACTGGAGATGAGTGGAGTCCCGACTCGGGTTCAGTTGGGCTAGTAAAGGACACTCAGAAAGGGGACCCAGCAGCGTTAGACTTCATTTTGCTCTGGGCCAGGCTGGACAATTAATCATTTTAATTAATGGGACAGGTGTGCCACAGGTTGTTGTTGTCGAGACGAGTCAAGTCGCTCCCCCACATTCGCATGTCCCCTTTTGCAGCTGAATATCTGTCTATTTCTCCCCCTGTCTCTGTCTCTTTGCAGGCGTGCCATCTTGGCCAACGGCGACGTGACAGGAGCGCGAACATTGGCGGGGATTTGGAGGAATGATTATTGGGGCACTCCACTGGCGGACAGTGGCTCCCACGGCTCCTGGCGCCCGCTGTGTGTGCTCAGCTTCCGTCTCAACTTCCTGGCGGGTGGGCTGGCGGCCACTGGCTACCACGTAACCAACGTGCTGCTCCACTGCCTGGCAACGTGGCTGGTGGTGCTCGTGGGCCGTACCCTGCTCCCAAGCCGTGCCGGAGTCCTGGCCGCGGGCGCCCTCTTCGCCGCACATCCCGCACACACGGAGGCTGTTGCCGGCCTGGTCGGTCGTGCCGATCTGGCGGCTTGCGTCTGCTATCTGCTCACGTACCTGACCTATCAGCGGCACATGCGGAGCCGGGAGTGGAGCTCCCTGACGCTCACCCTGCTGCTCGCTCTGGCCGCGCTGCTCTGCAAGGAGACGGCCATCACGGCCGTGCTGCTCTGCGGACTTTGCGACGTGCTGCGTGGCCTGGAACACGCCGATAAGGTGAGTGTCTTACTCTTATCAACATTACTGCTTTCCAGGATGCTTATTTATCATCTCCCTTCAATCTCCTTTCAGTACCGCCTTCGCTCGCTGTGCATTCTAAGCGTCTTCCTATTTTGTTCGCTTTACTGCCGTTTGAGCCTGCTGCCCCGACCTGCCACACCCTTTGCGGCCGCCGATAATCCGACGGCCCACGAGGCGTGCTGGTGGACACGGACTCTGACTTTCCTGTACCTGCCAGCGGCGAACTTCCGGCTGCTGCTGTGGCCGCAGGTTCTCAGCTTCGACTGGGGCATGGAGGCCGTGCCGCGGATCAGAACGCTGTGGGCGGCGCGGAACCTGCTGAGTGTCGCATTTTACGGCTCTCTGCTGGCCGTGGTCTGGCGGGGCGCCCGTTTTCGCTCGTGCTCCCCCGTGGACTATGCGGCTGTGGCAAATATTTCGCTGCCGCTGCTGAGGCGCATTGGAAGCAACAGCTGCCACACCTGGCTGGGCCTGGCCTGCAACTGCCACCATCAACTGGCGCAGCAATCCCGATCCGTGCAAAGTCCGCAGTCGACTGGAGGCACTGCAGGCAGCAGTTCCTCCTCGTCGGTGCCTCTGATGGGTGTGGCCTTCCTGGTGCTACCCTTCCTGCCAGCCAGCAATTTGCTTTTCCACGTGGGATTCGTGCTGGCCGAGCGCCTGCTTTACCTTCCCAGCGTGGGCTACTGCCTGCTCTTCGGCTATGGCTTCGGCAAGCTGTGGCACCGCTCCAAGGGCTCCTCTAGGACGCTGCTCCTCTGCTGCCTGGCCGTGCTGCTGGCCGCCTTCAGCCTACGCACCGTGCGCCGCAACCTGGACTGGCGGGACGAGGAGCAGCTCTACCGAAGCGCCATTCCCGTGAACCCACCCAAGGGTAAGCTGCACCCTTACTGTCATTCTCTACGCCCCATTACAAACTTACTTCTCTGCAGCTCTGGGCAATCTGGGCAGCGTCCTGAGTGCCCACGGACGCTATGAGGAGGCGAAAGTGGCTCTGAGGGCGGCCATCGCACATCGGCCCCACATGGCGGATGCGCACTTTAATCTGTGAGTAAACGTTCCGTTCCGGAACCCCTTTTCGAAGCCCAAACCTGAAACTACAGAAATGATGTCGGTTTTTTGCTGGAAGCCTTTTCAAAACTCAAAAGCTCAAAGTGAATGGCTGGCGCGACCTTGGGCGTTTCGAGGGGGCTGGTGGAGAGCATTAGAAAACTGGCATGGCTGCTCCTAATGGCAGCTGCTTGGGCTTCTGTTTTGTGCTGCTCTCGCTCTCTCTCTCTCTCTCTCTCTTTGGAAAAAACGAACCGAAGACTGCCCAGACGCATCATGCATACAAATCAACCCGTACAGATCTTGAGCTTTTGCGCGTTCCGGCGCAGGGGCACATGTTTTGCATCTTTTGGATGGCAATTTGCATGCACTCGACAGCCATCAACTGCAAATAGCTGCTGGATGCAGTTTTTTCGAGCCAGAACCACCGCCCACCATCCTCTGGCACTATTTGGTCGTTGTCGAGCTTTGTACCTTTGTAAGCGGAGCGGTACGTTTGAAACAATATGGCTCAAATGAATGCTGGAAGCATTTTGCACCCTAGTCCCCTCTGGATGTGCTGTTAATTAGGCCAGAACTGAATGGGTTTGCGCCAGGCCCTAGATTCTTCGAGATACTCGTCGTACTTGGGAATGAACTACTTGCAGCTGGGCCCTGTTTGCACTCGGAGTTCTGTTTGCATTCGGGGCACATGCTTCATCTAAATGAGGAGGAAGTCGGCTGGGAAAATGAGGGAAATCTCGGATTGATTGAGTGCCTACAGTATTTGAGATATAAATGTAGCAGTTTTATTGGCTTAACTTTACTCTACTTCAACTGCTTAAAGGGCTATCCTAGCACTGGGCTTTGGGATTGTAATTGCAATATAAATAATCATTTTATTGTCTTAACCCAGAGCCCAGATTATACTCTATAAGCTGTGATACGGAATAAGCTAAGCTATTTTTCAATTGATTCGTTGATTCGTCTTATGTCTTTTGGTGTGTCTATGCAGCGTTCGTCAATGCTTAATGCATCAGCTGTTGCGATTGCACTCATTCAGCATTCCAAGAGCCACTTCCCCTGTCTTATATTGTACAATAAATAAACGAGAGCTCCGACATATATTAGATCCTCCGTGAATCGTAATAAGGATTGGAACAGAACAATTGCAACAACAAAGGGGAAAAATTGGCATTTCTGCTTACAAGCTGCACTTGATGCAACAATATGAGAACAAAAAATAAAACTGCTGACGCATGACGCTGGCATCCCATCCTGCTTATCCCGCACTCACTCTCCTCCATTTCCAGCCATTTCTGGTGGGGCCAATGACACTTCGACTTTGGACATACGGGAACAGACTATTCCACACACACACGAACCAACAGTGCAGCTTTGGGTGCTCGTTCGTAGTCATATTGCAATTTACTCGCTGCCTCGACGCCAGCGGCGACTCCCAACTGAGAATGCTGAGCGCAGACACTGGCTCTTGGCCCTCCACTGAGGTTTGGGGGCGTGCAGTGCATTACGAAAGGGGGAAACAGGGGCTAGAGATGGCAAATTATTTCACACAAGTTTAGGGCGAACATTAACTGGGGAATTTGTTTTAAATAAAACTTGTAGAGCATTAGAAGTTGGCAAAAATATACAAATGCATGTGGAACTAATATTAAAATTGTTTTTCATACTCATGAAACTTTAAGGAAAAATATTATACAAGTAGTAATTACTTGATAGTTTCTCTCTACAATTGTTCTGACAACATCCACTGTGGCATGAGCAAGCGAGCTCTGCGCTCTTCCAGAACGTCGTCTCCCTCTCTCTCTCTCTCTCTCTCTCTGCCGCACACACACTGCGCGTCCGCAGTCGAGGCCCATACGCCGAGTTGTCATTATTGTTGCTGCCATTTCTACTGTTGCTCGTTGCCGGTCGTTCTTGTCGTTGATTATTGTGTTTGACATAATAGGCTTTACGCTCCAAAAAAGGAGAGCAAAAGACGTACACGAGAAATCCTTTCGCTTTGGTTCTTTGGCAAATTGTAGGTAAATCCCTGTTCGCCGGCTTGCCAAGTTTTTTTTCCCCCACTGCTCCTTTCTGGGGAGAGGCTGCCGGCATTATTTGGGGAAATGGAGGATAAAAACGGGGCACGGATAGCAGCAGCAACAGCGATGTGCGTCCAATACAAATAATTGCACAGAACTCCCGAGAGCTGTGGACAATGGGTACGCGCCGAGGAGATGAGGAGCAGAAAGGCATAGCTTCCTCCTGCATTCATGAAAGGCGTAATCATACACAATTCAGTTCGCCTTCGTTGCGGAAAAGCGAATACCAAAACTATGTTTAACCCTTTAATGCACTGAGCCGCATATACATACGTACACACATAGCCCCAGTGAGCGTTTTAAGCGCTTTGTTTCCATGGAAGCCCCACGAGCATATTCTTCTTTTGCCTATTTAAATAAATACTTAACCAGAATGTTTTGTTTTATGTTTGTTCTCGATGGCTCCCAAAAGCCTCTTTTTACCACATGTACTGTGCTTATGTGTACTTATGTATGTATTTATGCATGTTTATGTACAAAGGGATTATCCGTTTATGAAAAACATTCAAATGGATGCTCATATGCTATGTGAAATTTGAGTTTGTTTCGGTTTATTTTGAAAGAACATTTAATTGTATTTATTTTTCAATAAAAGTGCAGGGACAATCTTTATTTAAAGCGGCAGAGGCAGTGCCTTTTCCTATGCACTGAAGATAGGGCAAAGGCAAGCGATGCTTGAAGGCTGAAATAACTTTTTTAATTGTACGAGTGGCACCTTCAAAATATTCTAACAACAATGGAATACTTACTGAATATAATATAAAGTTGTGTAAAGGATTCAAAGTATAATTTGTTAGGAAATTCTAATAATTATAAATACTTATTTGGGTGTCCACTTGGGTAACTACAACTAACGATCAGAACAACATTCTCGTAATCCTCTGGCCAGTCCACGACAGCTGATGTGAAAAGATTAGGAAAAGGTAAAAGGTAAAGGAAAGTTACAAAATGTATCTGCTGACGGCTTTAATGAGGCCATTGACTGAACTTCATAACTGCTGGGGCTTTACGCCTGGAGGTTATTAACTTGGCTCAAAACGATACACGAGACGCTAGGCTCGCGGGTGTCCAGGCCTGGGGAAGCCAATGCAAAAATTTCATTTCGAATGCCGTAAAAGTTTAAAGCGCTTCGCTCTGCCCCCTCTGCCTTTTAGTCTCTCTGTCTCTCTCTCTCTCTCTCTCTCTCTGGGCTGTTCCTTATCCGCCTGTCGCTCGGCAGTGTTGCCTTTGCAGCTTATCGAAAAGTTGTCTGATTGAATTTTTGCCTTGTCCACTTGCAGAATGCAACAGTAGTCCCCAGCCTTGCCTGCTCCCAGCATTCTCCAGCTAATCCGAGTGTCGGCAGAGGATATTGAAACATTAACATTATGAAAGGTTTAAGAGTTTGCCAAGCTGTGAAGCTTTCATTGTCGGTAGAGGGCAGCATTTTCCGATTCTCCAATCGAAAATCAATGGCAGGTGCCCTTCAACCGCCCAGCAGGTGGTGCGAGTGGGCGAGTGGGCGAGTGCGTCGCGGATAAGCAGCTGTTTGTACATTATTTACCCGTAAGCCATCAATAGCCGGGATATCTCTGGCTGCACACCTTGCGCCCGATACCTACGGCTACAAATTTTCAGTGCCTGACACGTGCCCTCTGCCACGTGAAGCATCCACCATCCTGTCTGGCTCTGGCTCTGCTCCTCGTCTAGTCGAGCGCCAGTCAACTGTCATGGATTTATTGTGCTCCTGCTGATGCTGCTCTGATTTTTAGCTGCAAAATGCCACAGCAAAGGATAAGTTGAGTGGTGGGTGGCGTTGCGGATGTGGATGTGGTCCTGGGGGGTGCCGCTGGTGGTTGCACGGAAGTCAAAGTAACAGGCAACCAAACACCAAAACCAAAAAATCACTGAGCTGTATAATTCGATTTCTCTCTCTCTCTCTCTCTCTCTTTTCATTCCCCCTTTTTTTCTGTGATTTTTGAGTTCTGCACTACCTGCACCAAAAAAAGAAGACTTCAAAATAAATGCAACAACATGGTTTGTTTTTTGTCTTTTCCGTACATATGTACACATATCTAGGTATATTTGTAGATCCAACCGGAATGGAATAGAATACTACAGAATAGAATGGAATACTCAATATTCAGTTGAGCAAATCCCTACGTTGTCCGTCTGCAATTCGAATGCATTCACTTGGCTCCATTTTGGTTGTGTTACTCTTTCTGGGGCTCCCCCAACAGTTGCATACAAATGTCAGTGTGTGTGTGTGTTGCTAGGGGGAGACGAAGCTGTGGCCAACGAGGGACTTTTCACAGAGAATGTCGAAAAATAAAATTTAAACAAATTCATCTCTGGCTGCTGCGCCATGTGCGAGTGTTTATTGAATAGTTGGCAAGCCAGAGCTGAAGCTAATCGGTGACTCCAAGGGGGGAGTTTGTTAGGCAAATACACTTTAAAATATAGGATTTAACATAGAAGTTAGACCTTCGTCATGGATTGTTTATACGCAGTATAAATATGTGTGCTCAACGTGCTTAAATCTATCAGTAGAAATCCCTCAAAAATAGTTACAGCTTAAAAATTGCGAAAACGATTGCGATTTAATATCCTTTAATTCTCATAAAAGAGTTGCACAATTTTCAAGGATTTTTAATAAGCTGCAATTCATATTTATACTGCAGCAAAGAGGTCCAAAATGTGTGGCTATAGCTCCACACAGCTCACACATGTTTATATGTACATACACATAAAACACATGGTGTAAGCTGCTTTTTGTCAAAATCCAAAAGTCTTTACAATCTGCCCTCTTGTTGATTTTATAGCCTTGTCGCAACTCAACACAAATTTCAGAGCGCGCCGTTTGTTTGAACAACTTTGTTGATTTCTGCTTCTCTTTTCTTGTTTTTTGTTTGGATGCAGCTACATGCAGATATTTAGGTTCTGTGCTTAGGTTTATTCGGATCTGCGGCAAATAAAATGCTGCCTTTATTTAAAAGCACTTAACCATGCATACGGGCCAGACGCAGCTTTGTTTATAAAGTATACAAATATCCACATATCCAGATATTTGCGACCTAAGCCCAGGCATTTATTCAGGCGTCCATCCACTGACAGGTTGAAACTTCCCTGAGCCACTCAGGGACAGCCACTCCAGTAATGAAGCCCGGCAAAGTCTACTTGAAGGTCAAAATTCAGCATTTTCCATCACTTATAGGACTCGCTGCAATTAGCCAGTGGAAACCGCAAAAAGCAGAGGCAAAGTTAATTCACTCCCCAACACTATTAGTCGCTGCAATCCCCCAGCTAAGTAACTTTACTTTCCATCTTCTGCCTGTCTCTCTCTATCTCGTCCCTTTCGTTGCCTCTTCTGAATTTTTAAACAAATTTCGCCTTATGATGTCTCGCAAGAGAGAGCAGGCGGAGAGTGTTCACAGAGTGGATTTCTTCGCACATTTAGCAGCATTGTTGGAACAATTTGGAGTTCCTCAAATGGCTTAAATTAGCTCTACTATTTGCAGGAACATTTTTTTGGTGGAGTATTCATTCTCTGAGACTCTCTCCTGTTAACTATTTCCAGGGGCGTTGTGCATCAGAAACAGCTCAACTTCAGCTCGGCTGTCTCCAGCTACCGGCGGGCCATTGGACTGCGGCCACAGCTGGCCGTTGCATTCCTGAACCTGGGCACATCCCTGCTGTCCCTGAACAGTCAGCATGCGGAAGCCGTCTCCGTCTTCCGGTCTGGAGCGCGACTTGAGGGGCATGGAGTGCGAGATCGCGTGGCCCATGAAGATGCACGCTATGCCTGCTACCTGCAACTCAGTTCCCTGCTGCGCTCTAGGAACAGACTACAAGAATCAGCGGCAATGCTGACGGAAGCGCTGGACGCGCTCTCTCAGCCACGACAGGACCAGCGAGCGACGCTACATTTTCGCTTGGGCGAGATCTATGCGGAGTTGCAACATTGGGAGGAGGCTGAGCGGCACCAGCGATTGGCCATGCAGCTGCAACCACAGCACGGTGCTGCCTATGTGACCTTTGGCCAGACGCTGGCTAGGAATGTAAGTATAGCCATACACACGCTCAATAGTTCCTTGACTAACCTTTCCGATAATCCCAAAGAACAGTCGCCATGCAGAGGCGGAGCTCTGGTTCAAGCGGGCCCTACAGACAGCACCCTTGGAGCCCAGCTCCCATCATTACTATGGTAAGTAGTCGAACGAAGACTATTGTTAATGGCATATCACTTATCAAGGACTATGCTCCCATTTCAGCTGATTTCCTGGAGCAGCAAGATCGTTACCAGGAGGCACTCAGCCTCCGTCTGAGGGCTGCCGCTTTGGCGCCCAAGGACTATGCCCTGTCTTCCGCCGTGGCCGATGCACTGCGCCTGCTGAACCGCTTGATCGAGGCGGAGCTGTGGTACCGCAAAGCGGTCAGCCTCCAGCCGCTGGCAGCCCACGCGCACGCCAATCTGGGTGCCATTCTGCAGATGCGCGGCTTAAGGCACGAAGCTGTCAATAGCTATCGCAGGGCCCTGGAACTGCAGCCAGGACATGCCACCAGTCGGGCCAATCTGGCGAGAATGAAGTCGGGCATGGACACCAACACGTAGCACTGGCCTCCAGGCAGGTCAGGGCAGAGCTTTACTTGTTGAGATTAGCAGCAAATATTTGTAGATAGCAATTGAAGGAACTGAACTTGAGATTAATGAAGGGACTGCTGGGAGTCCAATATATTTTTGAAATAAATGCTTGACATGAAAATATAATCCAATGAGTGTTTTTCTTTCTCATAAATCAAGTCCGTGCTGGTGTGAAAATGCCAATCTGTTGCATTCGCAGACAGAGTTCCCTTTCTGCTAGTTTTCCAAGAATTCCGACCCGAGACCCGCACAACAAATTATTTCCATATCAAGTGCCATCTCGAACCAGGACCAGGTGGCGACCAAACGGCTGAGGCCAAAGACAAGACAACAAGCGCAGGGCCAGGACGATAGACAAAGACAGAGACAGACAGACGTGATAATATCAAGTAGCTTTGGCAAAAGAGCGACATGAAAACGAACCCAAATGGAAACCGCAGAAGCAGACAACGGAGTGGTGGGAGGTGTGGGACTCGAATGGGAATTCAGACAACTTCATGCGAGAAATAGTGCTTACTAAGCATTAAATTATAATTAAATTTTAAACAATGAAACGGAGCCAAGGACAACGGCGGAGGGACTTGTGTTGGCGGGCCGCGCGAGAGATCCCAAAAAGCTCTTAATCACAAACATGCGCAGCCACTTCAAAGGTGAGTCCCCCAACCCGAAACCTCATAGTCATCCACATCATATCAATGCGCAGAATACAGAATGGAGAATGGAGTATGGAAGTGCCCAAACTGAGGAGAAGTCCCGTCTGGCTGGTTGTTTGGCTGGCTAAGCATATGCGCATATAAATTAACATAGACACCCGAGTATTTAATTAAAATTCCATCAGCAGCACACTGAAATGGAGCAAACACTCACTCACACATATGACAGATGAAGGGGTGCATGGGTAGACACACATTTTAGCGCTAAGCCCAGCAGATGCCCTCGAGTAAATCCACCAAAAACCACACGGCAGACGGCAAAGCTAGCGCCGCACGTACAACGAAATCTGTGAAACGCCTTTAGGGGCCTACGCCGGTCGAGAGTGCAAACAAAAAGGGAGTAGCCCCCAAAACACACACACACGGAGACCCAGAAACATAAGTGAATGGGCCAGGACACTTGGACTCCCACTGCAGTGGCAGGAGTGGGCCGGACAGGTGGCAACAGGAGGCGCGGACAGGAGCTGCCGGCGGTGCTGCTGCGTCGATACTGACTGATGAAGTGCCACTTCTGACACTGGCCTTCCCCCGAACGGAGCCAGTATTACAATGATAAACACGATGACGATGACTATGATCGCGTTAAGCATGGAATCTTAATTAAGTTTAGGCAGTCAGTCGGCCAAGGGTTGAACTAACCCGAGAGCTGAACAGGACAAAGGCCTGGGAATCCATAATTAAATATGGATTTGAGAGATTTGAGTGGGCCAACAGGGAGACTCTGTTCCCAGACATTTTGCACATTTGTGCCTATTAGTTAGATGAAAGCCATGTGTAGTAACCTCTTGCCCCATGGTGTGTTGGATTTTAAGGTGGCTTCTGCAGTAAGATAAAAGTCTTGGAAATGTTGTACCAAAAATATAATTTCTATTTAAATTCCTTTCTTAACTGAATAAAGAAACAATTTCCCTCTGAAATAAAGCAGATTTCCTTCTAGTATTTTTTATGTACCACCGCCACCTATTATGTCAACATTCGGCTTAGTCGTTAGTGGGTTAAATGAAACCAATGAGACCCCAAGCACAGCACACCTCAACAGCACTCCCACCCACAGTCAGTGGCTAAATCCGAGTCGGCAAGTTGCCCCAATGAGTATTTAATGCGTCAAACTGTTTAAATTTCTATTGGATTTTTTTGTTTGGACTTTTCGTTTGACTTTTGTTTTGGCCACAGATGCTGTTGCTGTTGTTCTTGTTCCGGATTCGGATTGTGCAAAAAGTGACGTTCGGCTTTCAACTTTTTGACCGGCTACGGACACGGCAGAAGAGGGCCCCACCCAACACACACACACACACATGCACATCACGCAAATGGTCATCCTGTGGAACCATTTATTTTCCACTTTGGCCAAAAGACAAAAACAACAAAATCACACACACACACACACACACACACAAACACACACACACACACACGGAGCGCACGAGGGAGGATTGGAATAAAAACTAAAGGAAAAAGAAAAGTTTTTAGTTAGCTTTTGATGAGGGTCAACTCAAACTCAACGGGTCTGTGGCGCAATTTTCAAGTGGCCTCCGCTCCCAAGCACCGAAGCACACCCAAGCCTTGGAACAAAAAAGGATGACACACAATAGTTCAGACATTGTTTTTGACATGAGTTTCTATCAAAAACAAATTTTGCCCTCTTTGTTCTCATATTATTTGGTATTGCCCAGCTCTCGTTTTTTGTCACAAATCGAGTCAAATACATGTGTGGCGGCAGACGTGGCACGAGAATGCGTCATGGAAACACAATTGTCAACTTAATTTGTTGAATTTGCTTGCAGCATACCACGGAAAAGAGAAAAAACAAGAAATATGAAATGCATATTCCTAAATTAAGTTGGCCTTAAGGCCAGGTGCACTTCTGAAAGGGCCAGGAATGCACCAGATTACCCCCTAACTAGACTAAATCGGAAAGGAGTTAAATAACTTGCGATCCCTGGACAAAACACCAAAACGAGCTAGGGCGAATTCGCGTCACTGCGAATTCCAACCACGAGAGCAAACGCAAAGAGAAAACGAAGGAGAGCGAATTGAGAGCGAGAGCGAGAGCGGACAACCGATCGGCGAGAGAGCGCCAACCTCCGACGTAAAAGGTTGTGTGCGAGACCAGACGACGAACGACGCAGAAATCGAATTCTTGTACCGTTATACCATATTTAATCACTTATTCACCTTTACTTATAAACAATAAATATAAAAATATAAACTTAAATCTTATCCGTTTCCAATTGGAAATTTGTAATTACCTTTGAGTTTGATTTAAGAACGGGTTCGTAATTATTTGTACATATCTGAGACTTTTAGTAACCATTTTCTATTTAAAATTTATCATACTTAAATCAGCTATGGGCAATCGTTTTGCCAGACACACCGCAGGCGTCTGCTGCAACCTGCGGCTAACCACAATCAAGCTTGCAACAATATGAATGCATCAGACGCAACGTAAGCCGCAATCAACAACCTACACAAAAATGTATCTTCATAATGTGGGAGCCCATCAAAATCAATGCAATGCAAACGCACGCACTGCAGGGGGCAAAGGGTGGAGATAGACTCAGAGAGTAGGTGGCAGAGTGAGACAGAGAAAAGCCGCACACCGCCGCTGTCAGCTGCAGCAAGTGTCTGATCCAGCGGGAGAGGCCAAACCTCCAGCTAGGTGGCAGTGGCAGTGGCAGTCGCGGCTTCTACGTGCCACACACAGTCACACACATGGTTTGTCCCGCTATCAAGGCCGCAAGAAGCGGCGGCAGCTCTCGTGGCAGTTAAACGGAGCAGAGAGCGCTGCCAACTGCTGTCAGAGTCGTAAGAGCAGGCAGCGAGCGCTGCCAACTGCACGAACGCCTCCTTATTGCGGCGCCTTCCGTACTTAACTTGGCAAACAATTAGTTAGAAATTAAATTCTCTGGATGGTTTCAGGCCAGGCATTGCATGCAACATGCAACGAAACTGCGAAACGAAAGTGGAGTCTTTTGGGGTAAAGCCGCAGCATCACTAACATACAAAGGGGACACTCTTACCGCGTGGCTGGTGTGGGTGTTGTGGGTGGTTCAAGGACAAAGCATCATCACATCAGTGATGTATTTTTGATTGCAGCTGCTCCAAAACACAACAATCAGCAAAAATTGCGGGGGCGAAGCAACTGCAAAAAACAAAACAAAATGCCAGGACAGAGACGACAGAACACAGAGCAATCATCATAACCTGTAGCTTCGGGCGAGGCATAACCATCCAAGCCTCCCTCCCTCCCTCCTCTGCTACAAACTACCACCCTAACAGCCCCAACGGAAATCCAACTCCGGGATGCCGTGAACCCAAAAGCGAAAGTTCGCACCGAAATTGAAACCCGGGCGGAATCTGTGGCATAATCTGAGGCGCAAAATGAAGATGACAATAAATTCGATTCGATTTCGGTTTTGATTTAGTTTAGTTTAGGGAATATCATCATCCTTGGATTACCACGCAGTGAACGCAAACGAGGGACTGCCAGTCCTGCCCTGATGATGTGCCAGCCAGAGCACAAGATGATGATGATGATGATGATGATGGTGATGGGAACGATTGTCGCCTTATGGCAAAAGGAAAGCAAACACAAATAGATAACAGACAACAAATAAAAACCAGCAAAACGAAATGAAAATAAGACAAAGCACACACAAATATCCCACCAGAGAACGGATGGAGGACGGAGGTTCGCGATTCTTGGATACCAAATTCACGGATCCCAGCACCCAGGGACCCAAGGACCCAAGAACCCAGGGACCACAGCACTGCCATTGGCAAACACATCTTCCAAATCCTTCTCAGCTTAAGTTGGCTTTGAAATTTTGATTGAAAAAATCACAAAGAGAGAGAGAGAGGGGGAGAGAGAGGGAGAAGGAAAAGACAAACTAAGTCAGACACATCCCTCAGAAATGGGCGACAAATAGCGAAATGTTTCCATAGAATCCGATAATGACTTAGCGAGCGCGGCCGGGAGTGGCCGTACCATCACCCTCAATAATTCATCCTCTGCACTGTTGCCGATATTTTGATTTGCGAAATTCCAATTATGAGACCCACTTCACCTTGGTTTATCCGCATTGCCGGACCTCGAGTCTGACTGTTGATTCGCACACGCATACTCCTCATTGGAAAATGAAATGCAATACACGCAGAAAATAAAATACCTGCAATTAACTCTGAATAAATATCGAAATAGTACATCCGCTGAAGGGGCGTCATCGAAGATTTTTAATAAATTTGTATCTGGTTATGCCTTGCATAATATCAACCCACTGCAGGGCACTGGGAGGAGAACGTGTTAAACTACTCGAGGTCCATTAAAGAATTATTAAGACTTATGTGATAGCCTTGTGGTGTCTACTTTATTTCTTCCTTTGCCCCTTTACGCCTTTTAG